TGTGTGTGTATGTGTGTATGTGTGTATGTGTATGTGTGTATGTGTGTATGTGTGTATGTGTGTATGTGTATGTATGTGTGTGTCTCGTACGCGGGGGCGTGTGAGAGACGAGCGTTTTCTCATCCGCGTTCGTCATCCCTGAGGGAGAGACAGCAGCAGCCGCGGCGGCGGCAAAAGCTTTTATGCGCGCACTATAATATCATCAGGAGTGAATAATAGAGATCTCTACTGTTCACTCCTAAAATAATAATTATACACTCGCTGAAAAACTCGCGTATCGTTTGGTTTTGCGTGTAGAACAGCGTCGGCGTCTAACGATTATCGGTAAGGATTTTTACGTTTTACCGCGCTTCGCCCCGCATGGCTGTATCAAGCTGCATGTTTGAATAAGCGATGGGAGCGAAGAAATGAGCAATATCATTGTCATTGCTGGTGGGAACGTTTGCTTAATATAATGGCTTCATCTGACAATGAAGGAAGCTGCAATCATAGTGAAGCCGTCATCGTGAAGCCGCAAAAATTCGAGCACTGTATATGGGAGAGTATCCCTAGAGATATCTGAGGGCCACATGTTCACAGAGATACCCCCTCAAAAAGGAAGCAATTTCTTCTGCATCCTGAAAGACTCCCAGCTGCAAATGAAGCTGGAATAATCGATGAATGACTTTTGTATTTTTTGATTGAGCTCTCAGCATGCTTCAAACAGTATATCTATCGTGGGAGCTTGAGTCTTTCATTCGCACCACTCACGCGCTGGATCGGTCTAGCAAGCGTGACATATACGATGTGACATGAATGCACATCTGCCGTGGCTGCTGCCTACCGCAGTCACGCGTCATTCCCTGTGCCGAACGACCGTACGATGATTCCGCTATTTGGAAATTTCTACAGAGTCTATCGACCTTCATTGCTAGCCGTACAGACGCATTATACGTCCATACAATGGCGCTCGTGAAAATTATTCACGCTTCATTCGTTATAAATTGAATAGGTCACGGTGCCCGTCAATAGATGGCGCTTCGTTAGATATAATCGATCCAAGTGCAAATACAAGCGCCGCGTTCATAGCTCGCTGGCGTCGCTCTTCATCCCTTTATATTGCTTTGATTAATCGCAAATAGCTTGGTTTATTGCGGCTCGACATACGGATATCCTGTTCCACGTTGTGGCGCCTCATTCAGGCTATAGGTTTAGATGCTAGACGGGGGAAGTGATGGCTGGGCGGGAGAAAGCCGCGAGAACTCAATAATTGCGATGCGTGATTAATCGATGGATGGTGATCACCGAATGATGATCAGCACAATATATATATATATATANACATACATACATACATACATACATACATACATACATACATACATACATACATACATACATACATACATACATACATACATACATACATACATACATACATACATACATACATACATACATACATACATACATACATACATACATACATACATACATACATACATACATACATACATACATACATACATACATACATACATACATACATACATACATACATACATACATACATACATAGATAATATTTTCTCCTTTCTATTTGCAGCCGCCCCGCGTCTGATACAGATCAGTGCAGAGGTGTCGTCCAAGCTCAGCATGAAAGTTGTGCGCCTGCGCAAAAGTGCCTTATTCTACTGTATCGTCGTCGTCGCCATTCCAGCAATGTGTTTCTTCAACTACTACCACATCTACTCTGTACGACGGAAGCTGGGCGCCGATTCAGTAATAGGCACCCTGCCGCAGATCAAAGTAGTTATTTGTTTAATATATTATTATTATATAATTAAATATTATATATAATTTCATTTAATTAATTCGACCGTTTTTCGATCAGTCTTTCCGACCGTTCTCGTTCGTTTGGTAACTTCTCGTTTTGTTACCGATCACTACAATACTAACTGGTATTGTTTGTCCGTAACTGCAAGTAACTAAAGTGCCTAAAGTACGGTTTACGTGTCTTAGAACACTCGATCGTACATTGTTATCTTTGTTTACAAAAATGTATATCGATTGAAATTTGTTTGTTTACATCGTGTTGCCGCGATTACATTATAATGCTACTTGTTTCTCGCGAGATCCCGTCCCTGTAATTTGACATGATAACTTGAATTAGGCAATAGAGACGTTGTACCAGTCTAGAACCACTACGTCACTTAATGAGATGCACGTTTGTCTGGTGGTTGCCGACTTCAAGCGAATTGTCGCAAAACGAAAGAGCGTGGTTGCTGGTTGCATTATTTGCTAATTTATATACCATAACAGCATAAACCTATAATAATTTTCATACTGCAGTTATCAGTAACATATTCGCTATTATGCGTGACAATATTTCACTCGATTTTTCTCGATTGTCATATTTATAAAATAATAAATCCCTTTTAAGGAGCGGCTGGCGCACCAGGGCGGAAATCGTCTGCTGAGGTTCCGGGACATGTTCGTCGTGCAGAGCTCCGTACCTTTCAACATCAGCCGCTACACGGCCAGTAACTTCACAGGACTACTGACGACGACTTTAGAGGGAAACCTAGCTGAGCAGATGTTTCAACTCGCATGCACGCACGCGATCGCCACCGCAAACAAACTACAGACGGCGGTGACACCTGGTAGCCAGTTAATGAAGTTTCTGCGACCGAGCGTCGCGCAGGTGATCCTACCGATGCACTACGTGCGACCGCTGACGATAGGTGGCAGCAGCGTCGAAAGGAATCTGACGGAGATCGGCGACGCGTACAACACGCTCGTCGGTCGGCTGCGATCGTGGCGCTACCTGGCGCCGTACGAGAACGAGACGAAGCGATTCTTTGTGTTCAACGCGCACGTGGTGCGGCGGGCGTCGGCGATCTTAGACTCGCTCTACCGTCGCCACGACAGGCGGAAGTTCGCCATCACCGTCGGCGTGCACGTCGCCAGACACGGCAAATCTCTGCTCTCCGTCGGCAAGCCGGACACCAAACCGCCGACCGTCGCTTTCCTTGCGTCGGCTATGAATCGCGCGCGAAAAAAATACTCGCGACCGCTCTTCGTCGTTGCCACCGACGACCGGAAGTGGTCGGCGGAGAACATCGTCGCTGCCGACGGCGACGTCGCTTACGTTGACCTTCTCGAAGGTCACCGTCACGAGCGGACGATGGCGGAGAGCGAGAGGAGGCTCGTCGAGATGTACACCGTGTCACGCTGTAATCACACGATCATCACAGATGGTGTGTTCGGCTGGTGGGCGGCCTTCCTGTCCGACGGTGAGAAGGTTTATCCCAAGGTCACGGACGACGATGATGACGACGCGTCGCTACGGACCGCCGCTAGAGACATCTATCCAGACTCGTGGACGCCGCTTTCCTGAGTGGGAAACTTTTTTCGCAGACTGATGCAGGCTGACCGGATGTGGCACGGGCGTGTGAACGCGTTGATACCAAGTGATTAATGTTTTAATTTTTTGGGTTTAATGTCAAGACAATATTGCAGCAACATTAACAACTTTAGTGCGATCGGCTCTCTCCAGATATCAGCATAGAAGATGTTATTATGAAAGATCGGCGTGTGACAGAATCGGATCCTCCTATCTGCACTATAGCTTGCTAGGTTTCATTCCATTTCACTTTATTCTAGCCCACTATAATATAATATGAAGTTCTATTTCACACGGTTCTAACTCTACGAGGACGTATAGATCACTGTGTTCCTTGTGCTTTTTACATGGTTCTATCTCACTACGTTCCATCCTATTTTACACAGTTCTATAGCTCAGTATGTTTCATTGCATTTCATATAGTTGTAGCTCACCATGTTTCATTCCATCTCACATGGTTCTAACCCGCTATGTTCCATGTCAGTTTCTACAGTTCTACAGCTAGCACAATATATGCGTCTATAGCAATATATGCACCATAGATAATTCTAAACGGTCTTCTCTCCGTCCCAACGGTATAATGTATGCAATTGCCAATATATTGCAGTGGACAGCATTGCGCTGTGGAATATTACCATAGGACTGCATCGGTCAGTGTATAACATAGTACGTGACCGATAAAGCCGGATGATCTTTATGCGAGTATCCCCGCAGGCATGTGTATGCTGGTGCGAGATATTGGCATCGGGAATATTGTCTCCTAGTATAGCACTAGATAAATACCTTCGTTATTACATTCCCGGAGCGATGGTCTAATTAGGCGTGACAGCGTATATTAGGATCCACTATCGAAGGATAACGTGGCCTAATGTACTAGGATCAAGAGTGGATGAGAAGAAATTGGTTTTTATTTACTCCTGCTAGGGTGGTTATATGAGTTCCATCCGCGAGCTTCTTGATATTAAACGATATAGCGTCGAAGACAATGTGTTTTGCGTTGCGTGCAGCACGAAAAGCAATTATGTTTTTTTACTGTAGTTTGCTGTAGTTCATATTACATTACATAGGCCTATATTTCATGGGCTGTAGGCTATTCATATTACATAGACCTATATTTCATGGGCTGTATAGTTCGTTCGCATTTCATAGGCCTCACAAAATAACACTGACGGTTGTTACTCAGAATGTGATTCCGTATGCGCTAGTCATCTGCCGGATGCTACACTAATCACTACTCCAACATAAATAATTGAAGAATTCTGAGAAACTCCTTAATCACACTTCTTAATTATATAGACCGTATAACGAGTTTCTTCTTCCTCATTACTGCTAGAATAACATGGATACGATCAGGAGTAAATAATCTTAATTGACATTATTTATTCCTGATATGATTAATTTAATGGTAGACCTGGTAATCGATGACATACATGTCGATTTCGTAGAAGATCTAAACGTATACCGAGTTTTACCAGTTACGTTATAAACGCCGGAAACGATAGTGTTTCGAACTTTCCTTCCGATTTATTACGCGTTCGCTTTTCCGAATTCACTTTCTCTCATAATATGGTATGATATCTCGATAAAATACTAGCCCGTGCTTGTACTGGGTGAACACTAGATGTGTTTACTTACATACGTGATTGCTGTACGATATTATTTTGCAGTGTCATATGTTTGTCTTTTCATATTGTTGTGAGTATATTCACTAATCGAGGGACTATGGCTGCTCGTATAAACTAGTGTAAAACGCCTTGTAAAACATGGGGCATTTGAATTAGAATGAAATCTAGAGTAAATCGCTCAATTAATTTAGCTCAGACACTTCTGTAATAATCAATCCGCAAATAATCGAAGGGAGATCATTAAAAGTTTACACTTTTGTTTTTTGGAAATTACGAATTCCCTTTGAAGGTCATTCGGTCGATGTCACACATGAGTAGGGAGCGCACAAGGACATGACAGTATATACAAGACGAAAGCTATGTTTATAAAGCTGTCATTAATATTATAATATAGCATTTTGTGTTTTATTAAATTTTGCCTTATTATTACACAATTCAGCAGGTGTGTATTTTTTTTAATAAACAGTTTGCGTTGTGGAATGTGCAGTCGTTAACGCTTCATGAAGGCAGCGTGTCTTGTGGTCGCAAAATCTTAATTACCTTCGAAATCTTTCGCGGAAACGCAATGTTCGTGTATATTTACCATCATTTCCATGAAATTTCTTATGACTTCCAAACGGAACTGTTTTCCTGCTTTCATGACAATTTTCTAAGACGTTTGTTGTTGTTTTTGCTGTGTATAGCAAAAACGTTCTAAGAACACGACATGATGTGGAATGTTGTTATGAATGTTCACTTATAAGATTTCATGTCCCCGTCCACGTTCAAGATGTCATATCTCATTTCAATTATATATAATACGTCGAGGCATACACACACACACACACATACACACACACACACACACACACACACACACACACACACACACACACACACACACACACACACACACACACACACACACACACACACACACACACACACACACACACACACACACACACACACACACACACACACACACA